GTGTTTGCGTAGGCAGCTCGACCCTTGCTAGCCAGTCTTACAATAAACCCTGCTTGCTGTTTGCAGTCTCTGGAGTCTCTTTGTCGTTAAAGGGAGATCACAATTCATGTCCCAACATTGATGAGGAATACGATCGAATGGTTCAGCGCCTCCATGATTGTGCGAAGAATGCCAAGAGAGAGATAGCCACAAAAAGATGCCTGTCTTCAAAAACTCTCGAGCTCATTCGCCAACGTGGCTTGGCGCAAGCCTCAGGCAACCACAAGCGAACGTCGGAGTTCGCAAAGCAATGCAGAGAAGTGATCAAAGAAGACCTCAAAGAGAGAAGAGCAGCTGTGCTGCCAGATGCGGCAGAAGCTGGGAAAAGCATTCGCAATGCCCTCCTGTCCTTTCCCAAAGACAAAATCCTGATGGATCCATTACATCTTCCAGAAGGACAATGGAGAAAATTATCCATGACTTCTACTTGGATCTCTTCAATAGCCACGTCCACCTGTCCACATACCAAATTCTGCAGGATGGATATGTCATTCCCAATGTTCTCCTTTCTGAAACCCGACACGCCATTTCATCAGTAAAGTAGTGAACAGCACCTGGCCCAGACAAGGTCAGATCCGAACAACTGAAGAACCTGCCATCAGTACTCATAAGTACAATGGCTCGACTATTTACGCACTACCTGTCTGAATGCAAGGTTCTATCCCAGTGAAAAACCAGCAGGACTGTAATACTGTACAAGAAAGGAGACATCCACAACATTGGCAACTATCACCCGATCTGCCTGTTGTCTGTTGTCTACAAGCTGTTCACTCGAGTCATCCTGAATAGGATTGGCAGAACACTAGATGAAGGACAACCATGTGAGCAGGCCGGTTTCCAAAAAGGATTCAGCACAATTGACCATATCCATATGATAACCAAGCTCATTGAGGTTTCTCAGGAGTTCAAAATGGTACTCTTCCAGAAGGACAATGGAGAAAATTATCCATGACTTCTACTTGGATCTCTTCGATAGCCACGTCCACCTGTCCACATACCAAATTCTGCAGGATGGATATGTCATTCCCAACGTTCTCCTTTCTGAAACCCGACACGCCATTTCATCAGTAAAGTAGTGAACAGCACCTGGCCCAGACAAGGTCAGACCCGAACAACTGAAGAACAACATCTTCTAACAACACCAAATGTAGGATAACACTGTTTTGTCCTTCCCGCATAGTCTCAGGTAGTTTAGGTTTATTGGGTTGCTTCCATCACAATGCTCCCATTCCTCTGTTTATTTGTAACTTTCTTTGTGTTCTGTTGACTTGTAAATATTGTTTTTCTCTTCTCCCTAAGTCCTTTGCATAGTTTATTCAGAGCAATGTCCTTTTTGTATGGGCACAAGAAGACATACTTTTGTAATGTGACTCTCAGTGATATTTCCCTCCTGGGCATCTGTTCTCTCACCTAAGCCTCAGCTGCCCTTTCTTTCTACCACCCCCAAAAGCAGGGTCCTGATGAGGAACTGGATGGAACCAGGGCAAGCTGTAAGCTATCTGCTACTCTGGTATTGAGATGGGCCTGGCCGAAGTGCCATAATGCTTAACTATAAGTTAAGAGCTTGGTCATGGACAAATGCTGTCATGATCCAAAAATTAATAACTAGATTTGGACCCTGCTGGGGTTAAGAATGATTAATTTGGCCTGAGCTCTGTAGTCTGAGTCTGGCAAGATGTTCCCAGGAGAGCTGCCCTACAAGTCTCAATGTTATCTCTTACTGTGTCCATACAAAAATAGCTAGTATTGATATGTTGATAGTTATTGGACTGAGGAAAAGAGAAAGACACATTAAGGGGTATTTTGCCCTTGGGCAGTCAGGAAGGGCTTTGGAATACCTATTAGGTGGGGCCTCAGGAAAGGTTTTCTTATGTTGATTTTGCTACCTGACTGAGTGCAGTGTCAGCCCAGACTGCAGGGTAGTGGGAGGCAAGAGAGCTGGAGACAGGAGAGAGCGCAGAGCAGCAAGATGGACCACGGAGAGGCTATCAAGGGGGACAGAAAAGAATGTAGAAGAATAATACAGGAGCAGGCATGTGGAGAGAGAGAGAGCCCAAGCTGTGAGATGGCGTGTGGAGAGAGGAGCGGGTGAGACAGAAGGAGACAGGAATGAAAGGCAGTGTGAGACCATAATGGGAGGCTGAGAGAGACGGGGGCAGGCTTTTGGGGAGAATGGAATAAAGGGCAACTGATCAATCAACCGGCTTGGCCCTCTTTTCCTCTGCTGTCTGCCCCAGGGCCTGGACTGCCCTGACTGGGGGGTGGGGGGGGCAGCCCGGGCCCTCCAGAACCTGGGAGGCCAGGGGAAGAGTTGTCTGGGTCACCCTCTGGCCGTCCTCGAAGTTTTTTACAACCAAACATCAGCTAAGCAGTACAAACGCTGGCTGACTTCGGCAATGAGTGTGGAAAGGTCAGTCTACAGCTTAATCTCATGAAGACAATGTTTATGAGAAACAGTCTCGTTTCTGATGTTCGATTTTCTCTCAATGGGATGAACATCTCTGAATGCAACAGTTTTGTGTACCTAGGTGGAGAAGTCAACATGACGAATGACCTGGCACCTGAGTTACGCAGAAGGAAGAGAGTGACTTGGAACACCTTCAAGAGCATCAAAGAAATAGCTAAGAGGTCAAAGAACCTCCAGCTCCAGGCACATCTCTTCAATTCTTCCTGCATTAACATACGCCTCAGAGACCTGGGCCCTACAAAAACAGGATGAGAACACTATTCGGGTCTCCCAAAGAGGAATTGAAAGAGCTATGCTTGGAATATCACACTTCACTCAAATGAAAGAAAGAATCCGAAGTTCCAACTCCCATGGACGATCAAGAATTAGGGATGCTGTCTTGTTTTGCCAACGTTTCAAAAATCAGTTGGGCTGGACATGTAATGAGATTTGGAGACAACCGCTGGACTAGAGTCATTACTGACTGGATTCCACGGGACATCAAAAGATCGTATGGCCCCCCACGTATGAGATGGTCAGACTTCTTTGTCAAGACCCTGAATGATTGGTTTGAGGCTGTTCATGTTCCTAGATCGAGCTGATGCCTTTGGACTACACTAGCATGTGACAGGGACAAATGGAGACGTTACTGGTGCCCACTCGAGCAAATCGATGAGTATGTCAAGGATGTCAAGTGATCAAGTGATCAAGTGAAGTTTTTGATGTATAAGACTTTCACATCCTTTGCTAAATTCTCATGTATTTGTCATTTTTGGAAACTTTAATGGAATTGTTTTTCTGTATTTTTCTTCTAGTTTATTGTTTTTGCATAGTAAAGTTTTGTGTATTTATTTTGCAACTGATTATTTTACAACATCAGTTTACTGTTTCTAAGAATTTGTAATGGGAAAACATGGGTCAGGAGGACTGGTCAATATTTGGAATCTACAACAAATGTGTGTGGGACAGAGGGTAGGTAAGATAGAGAAGGGACCGTTATGACAAAAAAATAGTTGGAAATGATCACTTAGGACAAGTATTGTGTGTTAAAAGTAGGTAAAGGAATATACATGATAACTTTTCAGTATCTGTATTGTAAACTACAATTCCCAAAAGAAGAGAGAAGAAAGAGGGAGAGGGGGAGAGACAGAGAGTGATAGAGACAGAGAGAGAGAGAGAGGTAGAAACAGAAAGAAAGAGAAAAAGAGAGAGTGAAGTGTCTGACATAGAGGCAGACTGAAGATGGAGGTGGAAGGTGATGGGAAAGAACCTGGGGACACTGATGCTGGGAAATATACATTGGTGGAGATAAAGGTGTTGGAGCACTGTATGACTGAAACGTAATCAGGAACAGCTTTGTAAGGGTTTACCTCACAGTGATTCAATACAAGTCTTTAAAAAATCACCGTCTCACGCACACACACAGGTCACCATTCACACTTTAGAAAGAATAAATCACGACCACGATCACGACCACCCTGTTGTTCGTCGGTTGCCTCGAGCAGGTGCCAGTAACGTCTTCTTCGTCCTAGCCCTGAGATTTTTTTTTTTTAAAAGTGCCATATTCAAGGCTTTTTCAGGGTTAGGAGAATGAGACCCATCATTGTTACTGGTATTTGGCATAATGGGTATACCACGGGGAGTTTGCCAGACTCTGCCGTGTGGGCATGTTACATTTGGTAGCCTGCCAGTTTGACCAAATTAGGAATGAGATGATAAGATGTCGCGCGGCCGCAAATCCGGGAGCTGAGTGTGATGATCTCTGGATCCTGGCCGTTGTTGGAGTTACACGGCAGTTGGTGGGTGTAACTGTCTAGTTACTGGCAGGTCCAGTCCCAAACTGTGCAGGCTTGGAGATCTCAGCCCCGGGTCCCACACACCTGGGTTCCTCTGTCAGTTCTTTTATGCGTGAGGCTCATCCAAGTGTGTGGAGAGTGGTCTCAGCATGGCCTTGGCTGGGCCTCGGTGGTCTTCAGCTGTTGGGCCCTGGTGGAGACAGTCAGGCATAGGGTAGGAGACTCTGCCTTGTTCTCTCCCAGGAGCTGAGTGTGATGATCTCTTTGCGCAGTGGCAGTATCGTAGCCAATGAGGTTTATCCGAGGCGCGATTATTGCTAATTGAAAACTTTTCCCAATACCCCGCCATGACGACTTGAAATATAGTCGGCATTGGCAATTTTTGACAGAAAGAATAAAACAGAATAAAAAAATGTAGCATGCAATATGCAAGTAGTAATAGTTTAGCTATTCATATATGTATTTCTTTGATTTCTTTTTCTTGTCTATTTGTGTAGTAAGGACTTATAAAAATATGTAAAAAGAATAGTGGAGAAAATAGAGTTCCTGCTTGTGCTAATCACAGAGGATGTCTTTCATTTTTTGCCACTGAGTATGATTTTGCTGTGGATATATCATATATGATGGTTATTATCTTGAGGTATATTCTTTCTATTCCTACTTTATCTGAGGGTCAAAAAATAATAATTGTTTAATATCGTCAACAGCTTTCTCAGTGGACCCTTTTCTGGTTCATAATCATGATGATTGGGTGCTCACAAGCTGTGTGGCATGTGCCTCCCTTAAATCTTGTTATTCATTTGGCACATTATCCATCTGACATGAACTCAAGTGCCTATTAATATGATTATATGATTTCCGTCTTTTTAATGATATTGAATGTTGCATTAATTTATTTGTAAGTATTGAACCATTTGTTGCATCTCTGGAATGATTCCCACTGGATCATGATGTTGAATTTGATTTGAAAAGATTTTTTTCTGAGGATCTTTAAATCTATTTTCATCAGAGATATTTGTAATTTTCCCTTTTAGTAATATATCTGATTTTTGTTATTAAAGGTAAAGGTAAAGGCCCTCCCGTTGATCGTCGATTTGCTCAAGCGGGCCCAGTAACGTCTCCTTTGGAGACTTTGTTGTTACTGTGTCTGGCATATCGAATACTCTCGGTAGCTTGCCAGGCTCTCCAAGAGGGGCGGAGGAATCGAACTCGGGTCGGCCATGTTGGCTGTGTGCAAGGCAGACGCCCTACATTAGGAAAGAGTAATATTTATTTTAGTCCCATTTCTCTTTGATTTTTGAAGTGCTTGAGAAATTTAGGTAGCATGTCTTTGAAGGTTTGGCAGAATTCTTCTGGATCTGGAATTTTGTTCTTGGGGATGTTTTTAATTAGTTTCAATTTCCTTACTTGTGATTCATGTGGTAAGGTTTTTCACTTCCCTCAGTTTTGTATCATCTTGGAAATGCAGCCATTTATTCTAGATTCTCCAAATTTGTGGCATACAGTATGTGTCCAAAGTAAAAAATTATTATCTTTTGTATTTCTGAGGTATATGATGAAGTTTTTCCCTTTCATCTCTGATCTGTTTTATATATTTATATATTTAAAACGAGTCTAGCTAAGAGCTTGACAGATTAATTATTTAAGAAATATAGCTTATGGTTTCATTTAACTTTTGTGTTATTTTTTGGATTTCTGTATTATTATTTTTACCCTTTTGATATTTCATCCTTTCTACTTTGGAATTGCTTTGTTGTTATTTTTCTAGTAGTTCAAGTTGTGAAACTATACTTTTAAGGTCTTTTTTGTCTGTTTTGTTTTGTGATGTAAGTATTGCCTTGAATTTCCCTTTTAGTTTTTGGTTTGGTTTGGTTGTGCTAAATAAATTCTGACAGATTTTTAATCTTCATTCTCATTCATTTTGAATAGTAATTTTACTTCTTTGATTCCCATTTGCCCAAATGGTTAACAGGTATGATTTTTAGTTTGCAAATATCAGGGCTTTCCTTGACCTTTTAATAGCTAATTTCTGACTTCATGCCAAAAATCTGTATTTGTGATTTTATGGGCACTCAATTTGTGCTCCTGTGTATAGGCTAGTCTATGTAACAATGTTCTTCAACATTTTCACACCTGTAGCCAGGTATCTTATATAAAAGTCCCTATACTAGCAGTTATAATCAAGGTTGTAGAGCACTGGTTTTTAACTTTTCTGTACCTGCAGGTGAGCACCAGTTCATAGACTGATGGTTGAAGACCATTGCTATAGAATGTTCCATGCTCATAGGAGAAGAATGTGCATTCAGCCTTTTGTGGCAGTAGGGTCATTATATATATATATATATATATATATATATATATATATACACATACATATATATATATTAAGCTCTTCCAATTCCTCATTAGAGTTCTTATTTCCTTTAAGATGTGTTGTCTCATTAACTGTCAAATGAGTGTGTGATGTTAAAACATCTCTCTATTATTTTATTATCATCAGTGTTTCTCCTTAGGTCTATTAGCATTTGATTCACACGGCAGTTTTAAATGTTCAAAGGCCACAGTTTTGACAAAAATGAACAAATAAAATAAAATCCGGCATAAAATCACATATTTGAAAATTAGGAAGGAAATGAAAACATATACTGGACTTATTTTTCATCTCTAACAGGATAAGAGTAAAACTTTGTAAATATTCAATATTTCCTCTCCACCTTTGATTTTTAACACTAGTCTCTAACTCAAATCCTGCGGGTGCTACCTAGTCATATATTTTAATGTTTGCAGGTGGATACACCTCAAATATGAGAACAATTAGAATGCAGTGCCTTCAAGTTTCCCACACTAGTGATCATGTAGAAGATTGTCTTCTGTCCTATTAATTGTCCTATTAAGATTGTCCTGGGCTGGAGTGATAGCACAGTGGGTAGGGCATTTGCCTTGCACGTCGCTGACCCGGTTGACCCAGGTTCGATTCCTCCACCCCTCTGGGAGAGCCCAGCAAACTACCAAGAGTATCTCACCTGGAAAGCTACCCGTGAACGTATTCGATATGCCAAACACAGTAACAAGTGTCACAATGGAGATGTTACTGACCCTGCTTGAGCAAATTGATGAACAATGGGAGGACAGTGACAGTGACAGTGATTAAGATTGTCCTATGTCTAGGATTCCTGAAGCTGTTTGGTACAACCTGGAAAGCTAGAATTTCTCTTACATGTGATAACTTGTCTGCACTTGGACACTAATGGAAAAAATGGTATTGTTTAAGGTGGGGAGAATTCATTTTTCTTTTTCTGGTTGCCCAACCTCCAGGACTGCCCACCATAAAGACTCTCTCTCTCTCTGAGAGACCACAGGGCAGAGAGAGATGCTTTCTTATTCTGGGCTTACCCAGTGTCCTTCTAATGTCATGGATGGCATATTTTCATCTCTGAAAGAAGGGCAATCTAATCCTCACGTATACATTATAGCTGTTGAAATTTCAGGGTAACTGTTAGTCACTTTATTTTGAGATCCCATTGAGGTGGCTTTCACTAACAAGTGCTTTTTCTCTAAGGTGTTTGGACATTTGAAGTAAGGGATTATCTAAAATTGGAGGAGAAGAGAGATTCAAGAAAGGGGAAGAGAGATGCAGGTAAAGTTTGTCTCTAAGCAACAGCTCCTACTGTTGGACTGGTTAAGGATGGAGGATTTGGGGTGGCAAGATAAAAGTTGGGGCTTGGGGAATGCTAACTCCTGTTATATTGATAGAAGAGGGTAGAAGAGTGCTCATTTTGCCCTTTTTGGATTCTTGTGAGAGTCCAAAAAATGCCTTCGCCTTCCAGACTATTACACTTTGTATTTGCTTTGAGCAGAAAAGGGTGAATAGTCTGGCTTGGAAACCCTAACATGGTGAAAGGTGAAATCCTTCATTTTATTTTTTGCAGGCAGAAGCATACATGAATCCTGGGAGGAGATGAAACCTTCCACAATAGGTTTATTTCAGTGAACTGACACATCTGTCCCCAGATAACTCCATCTTCTGAATGACTGAAAATCAGCTTGGGAATATCTATATAATGCTTATCTTATCTTGATTATCTTGTACCTTCAGCATTTCTCATTGGGTTCAAATTGAAGATGGCAGAATGAGCTTTATAACTCTCCTTCCTAAATGTCTATTGAATTGGCCCAGGATATATACCTTTTGGAAACTGTGTATCATTTGAGAACAGGAAAGATAAAAGCTGAAGGAGGATAATTTAGAGACATTTATGCTAGACAGTAAAGTTTCAAAGTGAAAAAGGATCTATTAGAAATACTCTTTATTTTATATCTACCAAGGAACATTAGTAAAACTCTTCTTCTTCCCTGAAATACCCAAACTTATGTCCCACAGATGCAGTGAAAAGTTTTAAATATTTTTCATTCCCTTAGCTCTGAGATGTAACACTCAATTTGCTAGTCATGAAATAAGATTAATGATAGCAATAATAAGATAGATAAATTGTTCAGAGGAAGATGCATAGCCAATATGTTGATAAACATGTACTGTGAGCAAATTCCATTTTATCTTTATAGAATTATTCTTTTTATCCACATACACGTTCTATATGAAGTTCCTGAAATTCTATTCACTGATTTAAAAATAAGGCAACAGGATTAGAAGAGTAGACTTGTTCAAGGTTCTTAGCTATTAAGAGGATACAGAAGAATTTAAACTCATGTCTAAGTGCAAGTAGTATGTTTTCAATCTCCAAGCTACCATTCCAAGTCCATAAGAGGTGTCACTTTACGGAATCCTTTCGGTACCCCATTAGGAACTATTTTTATTAACAAAAAGAATTCAGAGGTTGAATGTTATGTTTTACAGAATTGACAGTAACCTGATTTTTCTCATATTCTATACTCTTTACCACCATATCCTTTTCAAATGATATAATCTATGAAAGGTAATTCCATCTTTCAACTAGATTTTATGTCCAGTGATTGCAAGGAGTGGAACAGCATTTTGATGTGATAGGGAGAAATTAAAAATGTGTTTGCCATGCTCCAGATTTTTGAAGAATTGAATTATTGAAAGTGCATCTTTCTTAGTTTCAGTAGAACTGAAAACATGAGATTTAAGTGGTAATCAACTGAAACTTTGTAGTGTGCCTGTCAAGCTGACAGGTGGGAATTGAGTTGGGGATTGGGATGGGGAGGGAATATAGGAACACTGGTGGAAGGAAGTTCACTCTGACAGAGGGACTGTTGTTGAATTATATGCCTAAAATGCAACTATTAGTAACTTTATAAATCAAGGCTCTAAAATAAAAATTAAAAAAGTAAAGTGCATGTTTCTAAATTACCTGTATTTCTCTTTGCTGCTAGAACTCAATGAAAATACCGGGATTCCCCTGAATCTTCTTGAAAACCATAGCCCTTGGCCAGCCTATGTAACATATACATCCCCAATGGTGAAAAGACTCATTGAGAACAGCAAAGCAAGAGAACTCCAATGCAGACGTACTCTGGAGGAAAATCAATGTCTCTTGAGGCAAAACAAGTCTTTCAACATTCCCCCAGTAAAAAAGAGAAAGTCAACCAAGACCTCTGTCAACATACTCAAGGACTTGAGGTCAAAGACTGCATTATCAGTGTGGAACACATGCCCAGTGACAGCCATGGCTCCACCAGCTATCCCCAAATCCAGTAATCTTCCAATGGATTCCAGAGATGGTCCCACTGCAAACTATAACAAAATCATCTTCTGTCGAAAACTTTTGATGAGGATGCTTCCTTACAGCTCACTTCAGGCCAACAGGAAGAAATAGTCAAACATTTTCCAAAAATTCCCT